CAGAGACAAAGAGTGTGAGAGTGTGAGAGACAGAGTTTAAGAGACAGAGAGACAGAGTGAGAGTGTGAAAGACAGAGTTTGAGAGTGTGCGAGACAGAGAGATACACAGTGTGAGTGTGAGAGACACACAGAGAGAGACAGAGATACACAGAAAGAAACAGAGTGTGAGAGTGAGACAGAGACAGAGAGACAGAGTGTGAGAGTGAGACAGAGAGAGACAGAGTGTGAGAGTGAGCCAGAGAGAGAGACAGAGTGAGACAGAGAGACAGAGACAGAGTGTGAGTGTGAGACAGAGACAGAGAGAGTGTGAGTGTGTGTGAGACAGAGAAAGAGAGAGTGTGAGTGTGAGTTTGAGACAGAGATAGACAGAGTGTGAGTGTGAGGGAGATATAGAGAGACAGCGACAGACAGAGACAGAGACAGATTGAGACAGAGACAGACTGAGAGAGTGTGAGACAGAGAGAAAGAGAGACTGAAAGAGTGTGAGACAGAGAATGTGAGACAGAGAGACAGAGTGTGAGAGTGAGACAGAGACAGAGTGTGAGAGTGAGACAGAGAGAGACAGAGTGAGACAGAGAGACAGAGACAGAGACAGAGAGTGTGAGTGTGTTTGAGACAGAGAGAGTGTGAGTGTGAGTTTGAGACAGAGATAGAAAGAGTGTGTGTGTGAGGGAGATATAGAGAGACAGAGACAGAGATTGAGACAGAGACAGACTGAGAGAGTGTGAGATAGAGAGAGACTGAGAGAGTGTGAGACAGAGAATGTGACACAGAGAGACAGAGTGTGAGAGTGAGACAGAGAGACAGAGTGTGAGAGTGAGACAGAGAGAGTGAGACAGAGAGAGACAGAGAGACAGAGACAGAGTGTGAGTGTGAGTGTGAGACAGAGACAGAGAGAGAGTGAGTGTGTTTGAGACAGAGAAAGAGAAAGTGTGAGTGTGAGTTTGAGATAGAGATAGACAGAGTGTGAGTGTGAGGGAGATATAGAGAGACAGAGACAGAGACAGATTGAGACAGAGACAGACTGAGAGAGTGTGAGACAGAGAGACAGAGAGACTAAGAGAGTGTGATAGAATGTGAGACAGAGAGACAGAGTGTGAGTGAAACAGAGACAGACAGAGTGTGAGTGAGAGAGACAGAGACACAGAGAGACAGAGTGTGAGGCAGAGAAAGACAGAGTGTGAGTGAGAAAGAGACAGAGAGAGTGAGTGAGAGAGATAGAGATGGAGTGTGAGAGACACAGAAAGAGTGTGAGACAGAGTGTGAGTGTGAGACAGAGCGACAGAGACAGAGAGTGTGAGAGTGAGACAGAAAGAGACAGTGTGAGAATGAGACAGACAGAGACTGAGAATGAGACAGAGTGTGAGAGTGATACAGAGACAGAGACAGAGTGTGAGAGAGTGAGCAAGAGACAGAGACACAGACACAGAGACAGAGTGAGAGAGAGAGAGACAGAGACACAAAGAAAGAGACAGAGTGAGAGACAGAGACACAGAGACACAGAGACAGAGTGAGAGAGATACATACACAGAGACACTGTGTAAGAGACAGACACAGATACAGAGTAAGAGAGACAGAGACAGACACAGACACAGTGAGAGAGAGACAGAGACAGACTGAGAGAGTGAGATACAGAGAGAGAGTGTGTGAGAGACAAACAGAGATAGAGTGTGTGAGAGACAGAGACAGAGTGTGTGAGAGAGACAGAGACAGAGTGTGTGAGAGAGAGAGACAGAGTGTATGAGAGAGAGACAGAGACAGTATTGTGAGAGAGATACAGACAGTGAATGTGACAGAGCAAGACAGAGTGAGAGTGAGACAGAGTGTGAATGAGACAGAGGTTTCAGAGACAGAGGATTCATAGAAAGATTAATTTCAGAGAGAGACATTTCAGAGAGGGATATATATTTCAGAGAGGGAGAGATTTTAGAGAGAGATTTCAGAGAGAGGGACAGAGGTTTCAGAGACAGGGAGAGAGATTTCAGATTTTATATATATATATATATATATATATATATATATATATATATATATATATATAGAGAGAGAGA